GGGGCGGCCGGGGGCGTCCGCCCGCCTCGGCCCGCGCCGGGAAGCCGGGGACCTGCGCGGCGGTCGCGGCGGCCGCGCGGGAGAAGACGAAAGGCCGCGGCCGGCGCCGCTAGGCCACAGGCAGGAGGCGCGCCGCGCACGGAGCGGTGCCGCCCTTCGCCCGTCGGGGCCCGCCGTTGCGCCGCCTCCCGTCGCTTTGCCGGGGCAGTGGCGAGTGTTCCAGGTGGAAGTCGGTGCGCAGTCGGGATGCTTCTGTGACCCGGGGCCTCTCTGCAAGTGTAGACCACAACTACAGGAGAACTACAGCCGTTCCTCCGCTGGTTCCACAAAAATAACCGGCAAGTGCCACGGCCAGGCAGACCGCACCTGTCCCGGGCGGGGAAGCCCGTCCCAGACACGAAGACAAACCAGATAAGACGGAGTGAAACCCGAGCCAAACACAGCTACACTACACCTAAAACAAAAAGGGGGCGCGGTCTAGACGGCTCCGCGGGTAGAGGGCTTGCTGCCTGACCCGCGCAGTCTCGAACACGGGGGTGTGGGGGGGGGTGGGACTCACTCCTGAAAGTTGTTTCATCTTCACGCAAGCTGTGGCTTGCCTGTACCGAGGCTCTCAGGTTCTTGCACAGATATGTACACACACACACACACACACACACACACACTAAGTGATAAGAGTGAAGAAGAGGAAGAAGGAGGAGGAGGAGGAGAAGAAAACAGCAGCAACAACAAAAAAAGAAAGAAGCCGGGTGGTGGTGACTTTTAATCCCGGCGCTGAGAAGGTGGATCTCTGAGTTTGAGGCCAGCCTGATCTTCAGGCTCACAGGGCTACACAGAGAAACCGTATCTCAAAACAAAATAAAACGAAAATCCAAACAAACAGAAGAAAAAAAGAAGGAAAGAAAGAAAAGAGAATCTGGAGATTCTTAGCAATAGATTATTACATCTGAACACCAGTTAAATCTCTCTCTTCACACACACAGACAGACACACACACACACACACACACACACTGATGGTGGTAAGATGCTGTGTGTGGTGCTCAACTCTTGCCTAGCATGCACAAGGGCAAATTCAAACCCCAGGGGGGAAAATCTAGAGAAAGAGAGAGAGAGAGAGAGAGAGAGAGAGGAAGGAAGGAAGGAAGGAAGGAAGGAAGGAAGGGAAAGAAAAGAAAGGAAGGAAGGAAGAAAAGTAAAGAAAGAAACTTGTCTTCTACTGGTTTCTGCTTCAAAAAAGAAAAAAATCAGTTAAGAAGAAGGAGAAGCAGCAGCCGGCGGTGGCCCACGCCCAGCACTCAGGAGGCGGAGCCAGTCGGGTGTCTGTGGATTCAAGGCCAGCCCTGACTACATAGTGAGGTCCAGGAGAGATACTGTCTCCAGGAGGAGGGAATGGGGGAGAAAAGAAAGAGAAAACTGTGTGAACTCATATTCTGCCTTCAAGACTTCGTCACTCTGACCTTGTGACACTGGTACTTAGGCTGTGAGTGGATGGAGCGCACGCTTCCCCGCTTGGGGCCCTAAATAAACACGTAAATAAAAGTGTTACGGTAATCTTGTACATTTTGTGGTATTTTGATTTGCAGCATTTCGTATGCTTGTTCTATCTTCACTGAAATAAAAGGGCTGAGGCTGGGACCGAGGCGGGAGGGTGTTTACCCCTTCATTCCCAGGGCCCCTCAACTGGGTGTGCGCCTGGAACGCCAGCACTTGAAGCTGGGAGGCAGGAGGACAAGGGCCTCCCAGGCCAGCTGGACAGCGGGCAGCCTTGCCCCAGCCCCCAGAGCAGCAGTAGTAACTGTCATACGGCTTATGTGTGTCAGGCCCTATTGAACATGCTCTTCAGCAGAGTCCACCCGTCTGACGGCCCCTCCACGGGGGTCACATACCAAACACCCCGCCTCAGCTGTTCACATCACTGTTCAGAACAGTAGCACAATGACAGGCAGGAAATAGCAGTGAAACCATCTTGTGACTGGGGTCACCACAGCATGAGGAACTGTATCAAAGGGTTCGGAGGGTGCGAACCACAGCCTTACACGAATATCACCACCTTAAAGCTAACCTAGTGACACAAGAGTGTGGTGACCACAGGATTAACTCGGCCACATAGAGCGGCCCTGTTGCCATAGGAGCTGGAGAGATGGCCCAGCCGTCGAGAGCACTTGCTATTCCCCGGAGGACCCAGGTTCAGCTCCCAGAAGTCACATGACCCCTCCCCAGAGCCTGTAAAATCCAAAGGAGGCAAATCCACAGAAAAGCAGATGAGTGGGTCCCGGGGGGCTGGGAGGGGGCAGGGCAGGGGCGCAGTTTCCGCTATGGATGTAAAATTTTCTTTCAGATCATTGACAATGTTCTTGAACTAGATATTTGTGCAACATTGTACATGTACAAAATTCCACTGAAACACACACTTTAGCATGCTTAAAGTGGTGGCTCACGCCTTTAAACCCAGCTCTGGGGAGGCAGAGGCAGGGGGATCTCTGAAGTTCTAGGCCAGCCTGATCTGCATACTGAGTTCCAGTCCAGCTACCTAGTAAGAGTGTCTCTCAAAAAATAAAGTTACTGAGTGGATGTCGGGGCTTCGGCTCAGTGCTGAGAGCTTGCTAGCACACACCAGGCCTGAGCTTAGTCCCCAGCATCGAAAACAGGGAGGTGAAGAATGCAACAGAGTGGTCAAACTGGTGAGTTTTCTGTTCTGAGAATTTATATTTGCTGGGGCTGCTATAACAAAATACCGTAACATGTGTGTTTATACTGGATTAAAATCCCTTTACAGCTGACACACAAAGTTCACCGCTCACAATGCCGGAGGCTGGTAGTCTGGGGTCAACACCTGTTTCCTCCACCAAGAGCACCGTCTGTCTGTCTCCCTGTGAGGATTATGCCTTCCTGAGTAGCCCTGACCCTCCTGGAGACGCCCACCTATTCCATCTGTCATCTGGGAGGGGGGCAGGGGCGGGGTTAGGATCCCAACATGAGCTGAGAGGGGACAGCAATGTTCAGACCACAGCAGAGTTTTGCCTCAATGGGAACAAGGTTGTTGGCTGGGAATGCAGCTCAGCGGTGGGACACTTGACTAGTGTGCTCACGGCTTTGGGTTCAGTCCCCACGAGGCCAAAAACAAAACAAAAAGCTTACAGAATAAAAAAGAAAGCATGCCTGTAATCCCAGCACACAGGGAGGCAGAGGCAGAGGTAGGCGGATCTCTATGAGTTCAAGGACAGCCTGGTCTACAAAGCAAGTCCAGAACAGCCAAGGCTACACAGAGAAACCCTGTCTTGAAGAAGGAGGAGGAGGAGGAAAAGGAGAGGAGGAAAAAAGAAGGAAAGAAAGAGAAAGAAGAAAGGAAGGAAAGAAGGAAAGAAAGAAAGAAAGAAAGAAAGAAAGAAAGAAAGAAAGAAAGAAAGAAAGAAAGAAAGAGAAAGAAACAAACAGGAAGAAAGAAAGGAAGGAAGAAAGAAAGATGGATGTCTGGTTCCCTCAGCTGTGACATGATGACAATAAGCCCCCATTTCCCCAGAGGACAGCTTAGAAATATGTCAGTTAGTGGCTTATAAAACAATCAGCCTACAGCAGGTACCCAAACTAAATGCCAATTACCTTTTCTCCTACACAAATGTCTGCCTTTTCTTTTTCGTTTTTTAATGGCTCCAGCCAGGCAGCCTGGCCTCACATGGGCTCACCCACTCCTCTTCCTGCACCTGGAAGGCTGTTCCACCACAGGGAATAGACTCCCTCCTGAGTACAGGCCGATGTGGTCCTTGGAGAAAGAGAGAGAGCTCGAATTCTGTGGAACCCACCTCGGAATCAGAGGCTCCTTGGGCTGTGGGAGAAAGTGCAGGAATCGGGGCTTTAGAACTAGCTGAGTTTGAGAACACCGGGTTAAATTCTGTCTCCGCTGTCTCCCCATGGCCCCTGCCCAGGGAAACACTCATAGCCACAGTGCTCCCCTCACCTAAGCCTCTGGGTGTTCATTAGTCTCACCTGGGGTTCTGCCGGGTTGCTGGCACCTTTGGATGTGGCAGGACAGGGATGAATGCCAGGCCCTGTCTTTCCCTTGCCATCCTAAACACCGACTGTGTTCTTCTGGAATGCTAGAGTGAGGGTCGTCCCCCCTTCCACACACATCTCCCCAGACAGGGTTTCTCTGTGCAGCCCTGGCTGTCCTAGAATTAGCTCAGGCTAGCCTCAAACTCAGAGATCACCTGCCCCTGCCACCAAGGCCTGCACCACCGTGCACACCGTTGCCCAGCTGGAGCAAGAGCCTCGCAATTCTTAGACTCTTGCTTTATCCCTCGCTGGGCTTTGGGGAGCACTTGGCCTCACTGCCCTTCCCGTCCTACTTTTCACCTGTCTAGATAGTCTGGGAATTACATTGCTGTATCCCGTCAGCCTTTGCTTTTCTGCTGCTCTTACCCAGGATGCACTAGGTGTGCGCTGGCACCCACCCCACCCTGTGGTGACCATGGATCCTGTCGCCGCATCTGATTCGTCTCTCACTGTCAATGAACAGGTACCTTCTCGGGTGAGAGGTGGGGGTGGTGAGGGTCCAGGACTGAGGGGTGCTGTGGCCAAGGGAGGAAGACATAGTGGCGCCTCTCATTGTCTCTTACCTGAGTTTACGATCGTTCAACCTGTCCAGAGCGACTGTCGGCTAGGGTTCCTCAAGGGCTGAGTTTGGGATTTTAAGTCGCAACTTAGCAATGACGCTGCACGGGGGACTGGAGAGATGGCTCAGAAGTGGAAAGCAGTGGCTGTTCTTGCAGAGGCCATGTGCTTGGTTCCCAGTGCCTGCGCGACTGCTCCCGGCCATGTAACCCCAGTTCCAGAGGACCTGGCGCCCTCTCTTGGCTTCTGGAGGCACTGCATGCCTGTGGTGAACAGACAGGCATGCCAGCAGGCAACCCCCGCCCACACACAAGATGAAAAGTAAAGTCTAACGCACTGTGAAAGTAGACAAATGCCTATAAGTATCTGAACATGTGGTTTAGTTTTTCTTTATGCTTCTATATATTTTCTTTGTTTTCTGAAATGACTATTTTAGTCATTAAGAGAAGAAAACAGTTCAGCACACCTCGAAAAGTATCTGGAGTGAAATCCTTCATAGGTCTGCCAAAGGAACGTGCTTTGGCATATATTCATTCTTCTAGATAGTTTCCCGTGATGCCTTTTCTGACCACAGACAGTTTTCGGGGACCCTGTGGGAGTGGTTCCAGGCACCATTCACCATTCACCATTCATTCATGGAAGCCCATGAATGAAGGAAGGTTGACAGGAAGCTTTCTCACCGGTGGAACTCACCTGGGATTCTTGAAGGCCAGGACGGTGCATTTCAGTATGGCACAAAGATCCTAACTCGGGACGCTCGGGCAGGGACTCGGGGAGGATGCTCTTGCTGTTTGAGAATCCCTGCAATGGAAATAAGGCTTATCGGGCATGTGGATCAGGCCAGGGTGAGGCAGGAGAATCTGCGTGTTGGTAATTGACTTCCTAACCCTTCTTTGGGGGAAATCAGCTAGAAGGGAAATCTGGCATCCCGAGTTTAAAAGTTACTCGAGGGCTGGCCCGATGGCTAGCACGGAAAACCCTTTGTGGCATAAGACAACCCAAGTTAGATCCGAGGAGCCCACATAAACCGTGGGATGTGGCGGTGTGCATCCGTAATCTTGGCCTCCTGCCATGAGAGTAGAGGGCCTCCCGGAAGCTGAAGGGACCACACAGCCAGGCAGGAGGAAGAGCCTCAGCACGATGGAAGGAGGGAGCTAACCCTGACAGCTGTCCTTGAACTCCTCATGCGCACTGTGGCATGCGTGTGTGCGTGCACACACATGCTGACAATGAGGAGAGCAGGCTCAAGGTGCACTAGGAAGCCCCCCCACTCTCCCTTCTTGCTGCAAGTCAGGGATGGTAGCCCCGTCTCTGGCATTCTCACAGAGGGCCCCGTTCTCTGGATGAGGGCTCTGCATCCCGAAGCCTCCATCCCTCGCCAGCCACACCCAGAGCTCTGGCCCCTTTCCTTCGCACTGCCCCCATCCTCCTGCAGGTCATCGTGATGTCGGGCCATGAGACCATCCGAGTGTTGGAAGTCGGAGTGGATGCCCAGCTCCCGGCCGAGGAGGAGAGCAAAGGACCGGAGAGTGTGGCTGCCGATGGCCCCCAGGGTGGAGGTCCTGCTGAGGCCAGTGAGCCGGCCGGTGAAGCTGGCTCCCATGACCCAGACCACTCTGCAGAAGCAACAGGTATGAGGCTGTTGTTCTAACCTGCTGCTGTTCTTGTGAGTCCCTTGTGGGTCCAGGTGGCGTTAGGGTCCCGCCTTTCTGCCCACTTGGCAGCCTCTGTCATTTTGGCCAGTTTCCAGGAATGCTCTGCCCTCCTTGTGCCTGGAATTGCATTTTCTTGCAGTCTCATCCATGCTTGAGCAGGGATAGCCCAGGGTGAAGATTAGCACGAGTGTGGCCTAGGGAGGGTTCTAGGTCCACACCAGACTGTCAACCTGGAGCAGAAGGCCCTGGCCTAAGGATCCGCCAGCTTTCCACTCAGGCTCATTTGTAGCAGAGCTGGGCCATCCCAGGAGGAGGATACAGAGCATCCTCCTCTAGCTAAGGATGCAGATTAGGGATACCTGCCGATGCCGCCTCCCTTCGGTGGGTTTACAGGCGCTCAAGGGTTTACTGATCTCAAGGTGTGAGGTGGATTCTCTTGGCCTGCAGCAGTTAGAGCCAAAGCTATTTATGGAGCCCAGGCTCTGCTCTAGCATGGAGGTCTTCCACTGACTTTCTTCACCAGCACCAATGCTGTTGGGGTTTGTAAGGATCCTCGGGCCTCCTTCCTGCTTCCTGAGTGCCATGCTCCATCTCTGCCAGCCTTTATGGCTTGTAAAGATTTGTTTATTTATGTATATGAGTGCTCTGTTTGCTTATGTGCCTTCATGACAGAAGAGGGCGCCAGATCCCATTACAGATGGCTGTGAGCCACCATGTGGTTGTTGGGAATTGAACTCAGGACCTCTGAAAGAGCAGCCAGTACTCTTAACCACTGAGGCATCTCTCCAGCCCCCTTCTTTTCTTTTTTAAAATTCTCTGACAATCTTACATCTGTACATACTGAACTTTCACCTCCTGTCTGTGACAGAAACCCTGTTCCCAGCAAGCCCCTGGTTACCTGGCTTTCTGTTGTGTTTTCTTCTTTTTTTTTTAATTTAATTTAATTTAATTTTTTATAATTTATTCATTTTATATCCCAAGTGTAGCCCCCTCCCTCATCTCCTCCTGGTCCCACCCTCCTTCCCTCTTCCCCCCATTCCCCTTCTCTAGTCCTCAGTAAGGGGGAGCACTCCTCCCCTACCATCTGACCCCAGCTTATCAAGTTTCATTAGGACTGTCTGTATCATCTTCCTCTGTGGCCTGGCAAGACCCTCCCCACCCCCAACACACACACACCAGGGGGAAGAGATCAAAGAATGAGCAACAGAGTCCATGCCAGAGACAGCCCCTGCTCTCCTTACTAGGGCGCACACATGGAGGCTGAGCTGTCTATCGGCTACATCTGAGCAGGAGGTCTAGGTCCTCTCCATGCATGGTCCCTGGTTGGTGCATCAGTCTCTGCAGGTCCCCATGGATCTGTTTTCTAAACCCACTGAGTTTAATTGTGGCTGCTTGTGTGAAGGTGAGTGAAGGATGTAAAAAGCTTACCAGTGGCCATGCCGCCAAAGACAGTGACTGCCCCAGTACTTAACGGCCCATAGTTCCTCAGGAGCGGGTGAGGCCCTACGACCCCCTTGCCCATGTGTGACGTTATGGTGACAGACCTACTCTTGTGAGGATCTTGTGCAGGTACCGGCAGCTGCGTTAGACCCTAAGAGCAATAGCTGTGTCGTGTCCAGAAAACAGTTGGAGGTGCTCCCCGGTCTCTGGCTCTTACGTTCCGCCGGCTGCCTCTCTTGAGGTACTCCCCGAGCCTTCAAGGGGGCGGCACCGGCATCCCAGCAGGGCTGACCACGCCACAGGCACTTACTCTCCACACGCTGACCAGGTGTGAGCCTCTGAATTAGCTACCACCCACCGCAAAAAAGAAGTTTCTCTGCTGGAGAGCGAGAGGTCGCTGCCATCAGTGGCCGCTGGGTCCTGAGTCCTGGTGTCTGTCTGTTGTCCCTTATCCGTCTCCAGACTGGACATCATGTGCAGGTTCTTGGCAGCCCGGGGACATCACTTACAGTCACGTTTCCACGAAGCCTAGGAGACCAGCATGGCCACACCTGCTTCTAAGGGACAGTGCCTCAGAGAAGGGCAGGACACAGGACTGTGTCCCTGCCACCCATGGACTCGGCAGAGCCAGGCGGAATGAGCTCCTTTCCAGAAAAAATCAGGGAGCTTCTTTGGTTTGCCCGCAGTGCCATTTTTGCCCGTTTGCCCGTCTTTGTGGGGTCAGAATTCTCTCCTTACCCTGAATCTGTTCTCAGAGGCTGACCTTGTCAGCACCCACACCTTGGCGGGAATGTCCCATGGTGAGCATCTTCTCTCACAAAGGCTTCCCCCAGGTCAGGGAGATGCAACCACGGGCAGGCAGATGAGGGGAAGTCTGAGTAGTGCTGTGTGAGCAGCTGTCAGCGCAGGCTCAGTGGGACCTTTCTGAGGTTAAGAAAGGACCGCTCTGATCAAGACAAGCCCAAGTCACAGGACACCTTCTCAGGGTGAAAGAATCTCTTGGCTCACGTCACTCAAGTCCTTACCACATACTTGTGTATCCATTCTTGGGGCGCTAGAGGGTAGACTCTGGGATATGAGACTGTCCCCGTATTCTTTCACCTGCCTATTCTGTGTATGGGTGTTGTGCCTGCATGTTCCCACGTGTGCCATACGTGTGTCTGAAACCTTCGGAGGGCAGAAGAGAACACCAGATCTCCTGGAACCGGAGTTACAGATGGCTGCGAGCCGTCGTGTGGATGCTGGGACCAGCCAAGGTTCTTTGCAAGTGCAGCCAGAGCTCTTCACTGCCGAGCCAGCTCTCCACCCCTTGCTGGCCACTTTTCCAGGCTGCTGTGGTCTCACACACTTGCTTCTGATTTTGGCCACTCTCAATGTGTTTATTCTCATAAACAGTACTTATTTGAATATGTTTGTGCAGATCTCTCTCTTTCTCTCTCTCTGTGTGTGTCTCTGTCTCTTTCTGTGTTTCCATCTTTCTCTCTCTCATAGTTTAGTACACTAAAATTCCTTTGAAGAAAAGTGACTTGTTGAAGCTGAGTCTTTGTGGCACATGGCTGTAATTCCAGCACTGAGGAGGTTGAGGCAGGGAGATTGCTCTGAGTCTTGAGAACAGCTTGGGCTAGGTATTGAGTTCTAGAACAACATGGGCTGAGTGTGAGACCTTGTCTCAGAAAAACATTGCTTGTTGACACGGAAGGAGATTATGAATTGGAAATTTGAAAAACTTATTAGCAATAAGAAGAGAAGCAAACAAGCAAATGAGCACGGTGGCGCACGCCTTTGATCCCAGCACTCGGGAGGCAGAGGCAGGTGGGTCTGAGTTCGAGGCCAGCCTGGCCTACAGAGAGTCCCAGGACAGCCAGGGCTGCACGGAGAAGCCCTGTCTCCAACAAACAAACAAAGAAGAGGAGGAGAAGAGGCAGAGGAGGAGGAACCATCGGCTTGCACACCTGGCGCAGCGAAAAGGGCCCGAGGGCGTCGCTCTCTGAGTGCTGGCTCAGCCTGCAGGCGGGTCTGGGTTCAATCCTCTCCACCACACACAATCGGGAGCTCCTACGCTCTTCTTATAACCTATGACACTTTTCCCAACAAAATTCCTTTCCCTTTTTCTATATTCAGAGCCTCCTGGCCGTCTCTGATGCTTCCCACAGCTAGAGGTGTGTCAGCCTTACACTTGGTTTTCTCCTCCTGGTTTGTAAGGCCTGTGTCATGTGTGTGTCTTTAGTCTTTCCAGCTTTCTGGGTTTTATTAGTAAGTTCTGGGAATTTAACTATAGGCTTAGGTTAGGTTGATTTAAAAACAAAAACTAAATCCCTTAAACACAAAAAAGCACGAGCTGGGTTTGGGCTTGATGGCACACACCTTTGATCCCTGCGCTTGAAGGCAGAGGCAGGCGCCTGTCTGTGAGTTAAAAGCAGCCTATTCTACAGATGGAGTCTCAGGACAACCAGTTACAAAGAGAAACCCTGTCTCAACACCACCACCCCCCCTTGACTGGGGCTACAGGGCTGGACAGAACTCAGTGTGGCCCATTCTGCTGGCTACTGTGTTCCAAAGGAGCTTTAAAATGGGGGCTTGGGTAAGAAGGGAGAGAGAGATTGAGTGAGTGAGTGAGTGAGTGAGTGAGTGAGTGAGTGAGTGACTTCTGGTCTCTACTGCCGACGTTCTGATTCAGGCCTAGACCTAGAAACATATGCTCAGCCACAGTTAAGAAGCCTCTGATACATTCAACACTACAGCCTGCTTTGTATTTTTATTTATTCGTTTAGCTATCTGTTTGTCTATTTATCTATCACCCAACTGTCATCTATCAGTCATCTAGCTGTCTGTCTATATATCTATCCATCTATCATTTGTTAATCTATATATCTACCTACCATCTGTCTCTCTGTCTGTCTATATCTATCTATCTATCTATCTATCTATCTATCTATCTATCATCTATCTGTCTATATCTATCTATTTGTCTATCTGTCTATATCTATCTATCTGTCTCTATCTATCTATCTGTCTGTCTATCCATCTATCATCTATCTGTCTACATCTACCTGTCTATCTATCTCTATCTATCTATCTATCTATCTATCTATCCATCTATCATCTATCTGTCTACATCTACCTGTCTATCTATCTGTCTCTATCTATCTATCTATCTGTCTATCTATCATCTATCTGTCTACATCTATCTGTCTATATCTATCTGTCTGTCTATCTGTCTATCTATCTATCTATCTGTCTGTCTATCCATCTATCATCTATCTATCTGTCTGTCTATATCTATCTGTCTGTCTATCTATATCTATCTATCTATCTATCTATCTATCTATCTATCTATCTATCTATCTACCTACCTACCTACCTACCTATCTACCCACCCATCCATCTTGCAGTGCTGGGGATTGAACCAAGCAAGCAGTCTAACGTCATGCTGTAGCTCCAGCCTTAGACTCCTGCTATTGTCTAGTTTATGAAAGTATACCGTTTTTTCTCATTGTTGTGTGGCTGTGATGGGGTTTCCTGGCAGGGCACCCAGGTTCCTGACCTGACCAAGCAAGAGGAGTGAAAGGTTGTTTATGGACAGTTCTTTTGGAAGCTCACAGAAATGACCTTTCTTGACTTCAGACTCCTCAGAGGAGCAGAGAAAAGCTGAGTGGCCTATGGAGCTCTTGTGACTGTACAGTGTGACAATGACATGCCCAGTTTTCAGGGGTCTTGCACTTAGAAGACCTGCCACTTCCCCGGGCTTCTAAAAGGATGGCGTGAATATGGGATAAAGAAGAGTCCAGTTGCTGGCTGAGCCCAGGATCGCTGCCTCCCCCAGCTCCAGTTTCTCCCTCCCTGGCATGCACTTGCTTCAGGTTCCTTGACTGCTGTGTGACAGACCACAGTGTTGACAGAGCCAGGAAATGATGAGCTGAGCAGAGACCTCGGGGAGGGGGAACCTATCGTCTGGGTGTGGCCCAGGGCTCCCCAGCTTCCTAGTCATTACTAGCCACATTTGGGAAGGTGCCCATGGGCCAGGAGGGGCTACCAGCTGGCTCTAGGCTCTATGCAGAAGCACAGCACGGGACTGCAGACAAAACGCTCGCTCGACACCCGTCACCCTCCGCTCTCAGGGCTCACTCTTGTCCTCTTCTCTCTCAATGCCATGTGAAGTGAAGTCCCTGCCGGGGATCCCTCTGAGTCCTGCCCCAGCCATCGCCACCTTCAGCCAAGCCCCAAGCCAGCCTCAGGCATCACAGACCCTGGCACCGCTGGCTGTGCAAGCTGCCCCCCAGGTAAGGACCACCCCAGGGAGCCGGCAGAGGGCAGTGGGCAGGATTGAGCATGTGGCGGCCATGGGGGCGGGACCTGCGTGAGGCAGGACAGGGAAGAGGCTATGGCTTGAGGGAAGGTATCCTTAGGTGGCCCCAGATCAGCCCCACTGGGAAAGAGGGTGTCCATTTTCTGGGCAGCTTCCTTGGGTCCTGACAAGACTGGTGTTAAATCCTTCATGAGAGAATTTGTGGTTATTTCCTCTAATGAGGAAATAAGCAAACACCCTTGCCAGCCCCTCCTGAGCAAGAGTTAATGAATAGTCCAGTGTTCAGTTAAGTTATAAAACTGCCTGGCCAACGAAAAGCTGGAATCTCGCAGGCCAGTGGAGCCTGTGTGACCTCTGCTCTGTGCACTGACCTCCAAGGCTATGGTCAAGGGTGCTTTCCACTACAGCTTCTCGGAGGCCTTTGTGGGCCCTTGGCCACTTGGCTGAAGCTTCTGTTCCCTGTTCCCTGGCCACAAAAGTGTGGTACCAAATAGTCAGCTCTGAAAACACACATACAAGTGACATTAATCAGATTGAGGAGGATATATATATATATGTGTGTGTGTGTATGTGTGTATATACATATATATGTATATATGTATACATATATGCATATATAAATTAGTGACATATATACATACATATATATATACACACACGGTTAATAAAAAAGAGACCATGAAATTGAAAGAAGCAAGGAAGGTATAGTGGAGTTGTCAGAGCGAGGAAAAAGAAGGGGACATGAAGATCATGTTATGATCTCAAAAAGGAAAAGGAAAAATGAAAAGAACAGACACAAGGCCGGCCACAGGGGCCCATCGAAGGTTTGGGAGGCAGCAGGGGTGGGTGGAGGAGGCCCATGTGTCCCGCTCTGCCCTGGGGCCAGTCTCTGCAGGTTAGTCTGACCCGAGCACCCGGGTTAGGCCGTCATCGGGGCTCTTCGTGCTCACTGTGGCCTTCGCCCACTGCCCTCAGAACGCCTGTTTGTGCTCAGCTGGGTCAGAGACCCCTGGTTTGCGTTGCGGATGTTGATTTTTTTATTTTTTTCTTTTCTTTTTGAACTCTCGTTTGCTTTTGCAGGTCTTGGCTCAGGAAAGCTTAGCCACAGTTCTGACAGGCGTTATGCTTCCAGCAGGGGCTGTTACTCAACCTCTTATTATCCCCATCGGTATTGCAGGTCAAGTGGCTGGGCAGCAGGGGCTGGCCGTGTGGACAATCCCCGCAGCAACGGTGGCTGCCCTCCCCGGACTGACCGCCGCCTCTCCTCCAGGGGGAACTTTCAAGCCACCTTTAGCTGGTCTCCAAGGTAACGGCAGCTCTCCCCAGGACGGCACCACGCCCTACTGCCCCCACTGCCACCCCTGAGCGTGTATTTACCATGTTGGACTCAGAACCCACGACCTGCTCAGGGCAGCAACCCTGGATTCTGGATCCGGTGCCATAGACACCCAGCCACACAGCCGCTGCACCTCTCGGGGACTCTAGGCCAGGACACCAGGCTGGCCACTCGGCCAGCTTCCTCAGCCAGCTGCCTGAGACTGCCCCTCCCCCTGCCAGCATCTGCCCCCTGACCAGCAAGAAGGACTTCAAGGACATTCAACACCTAGTTCACCAACCTACGCGTCTATTGAACCAAGGGAAGGGGGAATGAGAGATGTTGGGACGCGCCAGCCCTTCGAGAATCAAGGGAATTGCAGCTGCCCCGTGTCCACTGCCCGGGTGCCCTGTCATTTTTGTATCAGATCCCTCGGGACATGGCCAGGCGCTTGAGCACCTCTGTCTCTGCCTTGCTCCGTAGCAGCTGCCGTGTTGAACGCTGCCCTCCCGACGCCGGCGCCTGTCCAAGCTGCCCCACCAGCCCAGGCCTCCTCGCCCGCCCAGCCCCGGCCGCCAGCTCAGCCCCAGACGATGCTCCAGACCCAGCCGCTGCTCCAGACCACGCCTGCCATACTCCCACAGCCCGCCGCTGCCCCCGTCGCCGCCCCCGCCCCCAAGCCAGCGGACACCACCCCGCAGATCACCGTCCAGCCTGCAGGCTTCGCGTTTAGCCCGGGGATTGTAAGCTGCCGTCCTCACCCGGGGATGGACCAAGGGCAGAACTTCCCCACAGTGGAGGCCCAGCCCCCTGAATATGGCCCTTCCTGACACATCAGCAAAGATGGTCTCCCTCTGAGGTCTTCTCCTTACACCTGTCAGTCTGTCCTACCCAGAGGAAAGCCGATGGCTAGGGAATCGCTCCAAACTGGAAGGGCTGGAGCAGCCGCGGGGGTGGGGTGCACGGATACTGCAGACCTGTAAGCCGCCCGGGGTCCACAGCTTCACGCTGACGGCTGTCCAGCGCCGCTCTTGGCTTGGGGGTAGAGATGACAGACATGACCCGGAGCAGACATGACTAGGAGCACATTTGTCCCTCTAGTCTAGCCAGCTACCTTCTCAGACCTGCTAGGAAACATTAGCAGGAGTCACTGCTCTGCGACTGTGGCCCCATTTCCCTGCTGTCCCCGGCAACCCCGTGGTTGCCCCTCGTCTTGAATATTGAGCCAGTGGACGAGGGCCTGCAGCCCACTTTTCCCACTCAGGCTCTCCCCCCCCCCCAATCCCGAGTCTCTCTCGCCGTGGCCGCTGAGCGAGGCTCTCCCTCTGCCCGCAGATCAGTGCCGCCTCCCTCGGGGGACAGACGCAGATCCTGGGCTCCCTCACTGCAGCTCCAGTCATTGCCAACGCCATTCCCAGCGTGGCAGGGGTCAGCAGTCAGATCCTTACCAATGCTCAGGGACAGGCAAGTGGGCAAACTCGGGGCTGAGGGGCGGGGGTGGGGCAGCCAACCAGGGAGGCTCCTGGACTTGGCCTAAGCGTCCTGTCATAGAGACTCAAGGGGGCGTCAGGCTGCTGCTTGTAGCTTCCGGGGCAGCTCTCCAGCGGTGAGGAGTCCAGGGCGGGGTAGAGCCACCGCTGGGGCCCCACGGGGCTAATTCTAGTTGGGGGATTTGATGCCCGGAGGACCCACTGGGCAGGCCTCACATCGGGTGCTTTCTCGTGTTCCCTCCCCCTCTGTCTGGGTCCTTTGGTTTGTGGGAGAGAACGGTGGGATTCAGAAATGCGAACCCACATAGCTAAGAAGTGGCCAAGCTGCAAGGAGCTTCCAGCTCTCTGATACACAGAAAAGCCTCCGGCTGCAACACCGCAGCTCCAGGGACAGAATAAGGAAAGGACCTTGGGTGTGAGTCCTTTACTCCACGGAGGAAGAGGAAGCCAAGGCTGAGTTCCGCCTGCACCGTGGGACTCGGGTTGTGGTCCTGGGTGCCCCCGTCACACCTGGGCTCCATGTCTCGTTTTCCCCCAGGTTATTGGAGCATTTCCGTGGGTAGTGAACTCTAGTGTGGCTACAGCGGCGCCGGCCCAGAGCCTGCAGGTCCAAGCCGTGACTCCCCAGCTCTTGCTGAATGCCCAGGGCCAGGTGATCGCAACCCTAGCCAGCAGCCCCCTGCCTCAACCCATGGCTGTCCGGAAGCCAAACACCCCGGAGTCCCCTGCTAAGAGTGAGGTACCAGGGCTGGGGGTGTGGGTGGGCACGGAGAGGAGATGCTGTCTATCACGGCTACTTGTGGGAGAACAGGGCATCTCTCGGGAGTGGGGAGTGTCCTGTCCCCTCCCCACTCCTGCCACAAGGCAGCTGATGAGTCCACACGCGCCCGGGGAAGCAGCACACACCAAGACATGTCTCTGTGCCTGCAGAGGTCAGAGGAGGTGGGAGGTGACTGCGAAGGGCAGGTTGGGCCTGGCTCGTCCTTGGCGCAAAGAAATTGCTAGGAAAGTCCCCACCCCAAAGCCCACACTGTGCACACTGGGACGTTGGCTCTTCGTTTCTATTCCAGAAGAGATTTTTCGGGGGCCTGTTATACTCCAGGTGCTAAGGATGCAAAATGGCTGAGATATGCTCAGGAGCCTTAGGTACCCCAGTGCTGAGGCTGATTACCAGCCAGCATCTGAAAGACCACTAAGGAGGCGCAAGTGAAGGGGCTGCGGCACCCCACAAATGGAGCCTCGACAGACTAGAGGTCAGGATGGTGCCAGAGGGAAACAAGGAGTTGGGTGTGTGCGAGCAAGTGTGGCATGCCGGAGCTCGGTTCTCCTACACGGACATGGGAATGTCCTGCACGGCTCCTCAGGGCTGGGGCTCTTCTCCGATAGATCTGAAGAGAGACCCAAGGGTGCTCGGAGTTCCTGGGTGATGTGTGGGTCCGTGATCGTCTGATAGAAGCTTTTAAATAGCCCCTCGACCTCACCTGTAAGACTGAGGCTACAGAAATTCCTGCTTCAGGCATGTGTAATCTCAGCCCTCGGGAATTTTGGGGCCAGCCTGAGATGTATGAGGCCAGTTGGGCTATACAGGGAGCTCAGTTTCAGCTTAAGTTATAAGGAAAAACAAAAGAACCCCCCTAATTCAGACGTTTATGAGCAGGACCCCAAGGAGCTGACACAGGTATACAGTTAGCTCGTGGTGGCAGTTCTGTTGTTATAGGGAAGCTGTTTTCAGTGGCTGACAGGTATGCCTCTCAGAAGCCCCCTGACTTGGTGGAGTCCAGGACTGGCTGTCGTGAGGCTTGGATGCTTGTATCCTGGTACAGTAGGCAGCTGAAGTTTTCCCTTTTTCCTCGGTGGTGCTGAGGTCTTGTTCATGCTGAGTGCAGCTTCCCCATGCTGTCCCCTCAGCCGTCAGAGTTCCAGGGAAAGACTAAGGTCAGGTGCCTGGGGACAAAGGGGATGGCTTTGGGAGCTGGCAGGAGGCAGAATCTGGGGAACAGAAAATCCAGAAAAAAATCGGCATTTCCTAAAATGCTACGGTTTTTTATTTTGTTTTGAGACAGGGTCTCTCTGTATAGCCCTGGCTGTCCTAGGACTTGCTGTGTAGACCAGGCTGGCCTTGAACTCAAAGAGATCACCTGCCTCTGTCTCCAGAGTGCTGGGATTAGAGATGTGGCCCACACCCCCCAGCTGTGTTTGTTTTAAAATCATACTGATGATGCTAATTTCAGATAGTTGTCGTTTTCCCGGTCATAAGTAAGATGTATAACTAATCAGCATTACAGTGGTAATGTGTCATATAAAAAGTAAAACTCAGGCTGGGTAGATGGATCAGCGATTCAAGTGCTCGTCGTGTGTGTGTGTGTGTGTGTGTGTGTGTGTGTGTGTGTGTGGACTGGAGCTGGGATCCCCAGCACCCACATAAGTGTGGGGTGTATGGTGGCCCAGCCGTAATCCCGGCACTCAGAAGGCAGGGGCTCCTGGGGCATGCTGCTAGGCAAACCAGCCAGCAGTGAGCAGAGACTCTCCTTCGGTGACCAACGCGGAACCCTCTCCACGGCAGCCTCAGGCCTCCACACATGCGCACATGTGCCCCCCCCCACAGATGTGCACACACACAGCACAGACACGTGAGAGAAAAACCCAAGCCTCAAGACAGATGTGGTGGGTGACACACACCTGTAATCCCAACATTTGGGAGGTGGAGGCAGGAAGACTGTAAACTCAAGCTCAGCTTTGCATTCAGGGCGATGGCCGCCCAGGTTAGGGGTAGCTCACCTTTCTGCTTCCTGGTGGCCTCAGGTGGGGCCCGGGTAGGCCAGAGCTGCAGGAACTCTGACCCTCCCTCCCACCCGCCCAGTCGGGCAGGGGTAATGGACAAGCTTCTTTTCCTGCAGGTGCAGCCTATCCAGCCCACCCCAGCTGTGCCCCCGCCCACCGTGCTCCTCACCAGCCCAGCCCCGGCACTCAAGCCGGCCGCCTCCGCCCCCATCCCGATCACCTGCTCAGAGACCCCTACAGTCAGTCAGCTGGTGTCAAGTAAGTGACTTGCCTTGAAGGACTGCCTAGTGAGACTTTGCCTCACATGAAGCCATAGATTTCCCAGTATCCAAAAGGAAAAGGTTGCAGTTTAAAGTGCAAAGATGGTAACTTTAAATTTTCTTTCACGTTTATTTGTTTGGAGGTGCCTGTGGGTCCTGGGGATTGAACTCTGGTCCTCAGGCTTAGTGGCAAATGCCTTTTCCCCCTGGGCCTCTCGGCCTCTACCAAAAGATGACTTTCCTGTTGGGTTGGTTGTGAGCACAGTGGCGGCTGCTTGGCTGTCTGTCCCATTGCACTGTGCCACTGGCTGGCTGTCCATGGCTCTCACCCGGTTCTGAGGACTCGAGGTGGTGGACAGGTGTGCCTGGCAGGGACCTGAGCAGGGAGCCTGGGGGAGGGTCAGCAGTTAGAGCTGGGAGGTTGTGAAAACAGACCACCCCCCGTGGGTGGTTCCGGGGCCCTTTCCCACAAGTCCTGCCTGGCTGGAGGGCGCAGGAGTGCTTGGAGAAGCATCGTGGCTTTTGCTGCACTGGTCTAGACCTGTGGGCCAGATGGGCAGTGTTGGCCCTCACCTTCATACACTCCTTCCTGGTCCTTCCCCCTGGCCCAGAGCCGCACACTTCAGGCCTGGATGAGGATGGGATCAACTTAGAGGAGATCCGGGAATTTGCCAAGAACTTTAAGATCCGGCGCCTCTCCCTGGGCCTGACACAGACCCAGGTGGGCCAGGCTTTGACTGCGACAGAAGGCCCAGCCTACAGCCAGTCAGCCATCTGCCGGTAAGTGTGGCTGTCCCCGGATAAACCAGGGCCTGCTCATGCCTAGGCTGGCTCTCGGGGTAACCCCGGCATCCAGCCTCTCTCCCAGTCTCCCCTCATGCTGCCTCCTTCCAGAGAAGGACTGTCCTAAGGACACTTGGGGCAGCCAAAGGCGGACCCTGGCCTGCTGAGCTTTAGCTGGACTTCAGTCCTGATGGTTTAGATGTTCATCTGGGGGAGCCCAGGACCCAAGCCTGCTGAGGTCTCTCTTGTCCCTCCGCTAGATGCTCCTGGCTGCCTTGCCTCCCACGCCTGCCTGCTCAGCTCAGCCTGCAGGGGCAGCAGGCCTTGTTCTGAGGCTGCCTCAGGAGCAGTGAGGCGCGAGCACTGGAGGCCATTCAAGGTGACTCCTCAGTGGACCCCCAGTCATCTGGGGGTGAAGTTCTGAGCAAGTTAGAGCACGCTTGTCATTTGCCTGCCTGGCAGAGGCTGTGGGCATAGCCTCATTCTTGAGGCCTAGGAGATGGAACGTTGGAGGAATCGGGGCTTTGAGGGGCCAGGAGGCAGAGACACAGCAGGAAGAGAGCTCCCCCTGTGAGCCGTGTTTCTCCTTGTGGAGATGCATAAAAGAAGCAGCCACACATCTCTGCCCATCTCCAGGTTTGAGAAGCTGGACATCACACCCAAGAGCGCCCAGAAGCTGAAGCCAGTCCTGGAGAAGTGGCTGAACGAGGCGGAGCTCCGGAACCAGGAAGGCCAGCAGAATCTGATGGAGTTCGTGGGTGGCGAGCCCTCCAAGAAACGCAAGCGGCGCACATCCTTCACGCCGCAGGCCATCGAGGCGCTGAACGCCTACTTTGAGAAGAACCCCCTGCCCACTGGCCAGGAGATCACGGAGATCGCTAAGGAGCTCAACTACGACCGCGAGGTGGTGCGGGTCTGGTTCTGTAACCGACGCCAGACGCTCAAGAACACCAGCAAGCTGAACGTCTTCCAGATCCCGTAGGGCGAGGCCTCGGCCCTGGGTTCCAGCACTTTCCTCCTTCAGCGACCTACCGGCTGCGGCTGTGCGCCTGCTGCCCTAGGTCGGAAGACTCCACCTATGCATGTGTGTGATGCCTGCCTCTTCTGCCCGCGTATGCCACGCCCCGGGGGGCTGCACGAGGGCCATAGGCTCTGGGCTGGGCGCATGGGAGGAAGGGGCTTGTGGCGTCCTTTTTAGCAAAGGTGTCTGGAGGGAACCGGAAAGGCTCTGTCTTTGGGGCGGGGCTGTGGCAACTCTCACTGTGTATTAGCCCTTGTTTCCGGTGGCACCCTTGCCCTTCGCCCCTCCGTGGTTGCGCCAGTGTGACAACTCACCCGGTGGGGCCACAGCCTGGAACTGCCCTCCTTTACTTTGTACCCGGGCGCCCCGAAACCCTTCGAGGACCGAGGAGGCGGAATTCAGGAGCGTGTGGTGTGCTATCGGAGTTGATCTCGAGGGCAGAGGGCTCCCACAGCAGTGGGCCACACGCCTGAGGTCGGGCGCCTGGGATTGCACTAAGTCAGAACCTTTCCTTCCGCAAACCGAGCTGCAAGGCAGCGAGAGCAGATTCGCCCATCCTGGGGAGCCTCAGGCCTGTGGCAGGCCTGGGATTTGGTAAATAGGGCCGCCCGCCCAGATTTTAGTCTAACCTTCCTCCGTGGCTCTCTCCCAGCACTAGAGTATGCTAAAGAAAGCTTTCAGCTTGGGAAAATTTCCACTGCCCGCGTACGCAGGCTGCAGAGTGCACAACCACAGACTTTCTCCCCCTCCTGTGCCCAGACCCATCTCAGCCCAATACCGAGGTGTCTTCAAAGGAGCAAACCGAACAATAAGCCAGACAGCAAGGAGCTGCCGGAGGGGAGGTGGGGGAGGCAACTTCCAGAAAGATGGCGGGCCAGGAAGGTCTCTTGTGGAGGCTGATGTACCTCTGGGTTTCTTTGTAACTCTACGTCTTGGATGTCGGTGTCTGTGTGTGAGCAACCCCAGGCCCCGCTCCACCCCCATCCCTCTGCAATGCTCCTCTGAGCCGAGCGTGGCCCAGGTCAGGGCTTTCCTTCTGTAGGTGATGGCATGCTGGGGGCTGGCAGCACATCCAAGCCACTAAGTGAGCTTCTGGCTACAGCGAGGTTGGCTTGGCAGATGAGCGCAGCCCAGCTGGTGCAAGGCTCAGGATTCAGCTTGTAGTACTGAGGGGAAACAGTATTTGGTTCCAGGAAGTCAGGAGAGAGCTAAGGTGCCGACTTGGCTAAGCCCAGACTTGCCTCAAAGACTGTCCCTAACAGGCTACAGGCTGTGGGGTCAACCATTTTTCTACTTAGGCTGGTTTGCTGCTTTCTGAGATAGGATCTCTCTTGGCCCAGCCTGACCTCACACTTGTAGCTGAAAACAACCCCTTCCTGACTCTCCTGTCTCCACCTCCCATGCTGGGGTTAGAGTCATCTGCCGCCATGCCCGCCTCTTCTCCATCCTCGGCCTTGCACGGCCTGCTGGCTGCTTGATGTCCACCCTGTACCCTGCACGCTCCTCCCAGAGATGAGAGCCAAACAGGGACTGTCTCTGCTGATCACAGTGCAGAGACCCTGGGCCCCAGCTTCTCATGTACTCAGCCCCCTGCCCTGGTGCCTGTGAGTCCCTCTGTGTCCTGCTGAGCCAGTGTGGAGGACTTCCTGGTAGCTCTGACAGTGAGAGGAGGACAGTTGTGTACTGAACACACACACACACACACACTTCACTGCATTCCAACCAGCCAGACCTGCTGGAGTCTGTCAGGAAGAAAGAGGCAGAAGCTGCTGGTTCTAGATCCTGTGAGCATCAGCCTGCTTCCACAAGACAGGAAGTCGGAGGGGACTGCGAGTGGGCTCTCAGTAGGGATGCCTGTGGTCCCGAAGCTTAGCGAGGGGACACACTTGAGAAAGTCCTACGCAGCTCTCCCCGCTCAGGACCTGCACTCAGAAGTGCTGTTTTCTCTGGGGTGGCAGAGTGCGGCCATTCTGTGGACACCCAAGAGGGTGCCATCTGTTCTGCGGCATGACGGGAAAAAGAATCGTGAACCACTGATCTAAATTAAGCCTCACCATGCTTTCTCACCCCATCCTTTGTCTAAATCTGTCTTCCTGAGGCTGGGCTGGAATAAACCATTTTCTCCTGTGTTGGAAAGGCACATCGGTCATTCAGAAGAACAGTACCGGGTTTTCCAGGCTGGCTCCTCAAGTAGGGGGAGCGAGGTATGCATAGAGTGCCCGAAGTGGGGTTCACTTGGCTTCTGAACTCTGCCCCTGCTCCCCCATCTGAGCCACCACTCTGCAAGGCAGTTTTTGTTATGTTGGGTTTGGGTAGCAGTGGACAGTAGTTTGATTTTGAAAGCACCTTCTTGGACTGAAGCCTGCGCACAATGCCTCTTTTGCCCTGGAAAGACAGGAGAATGGGCAGAAACCGCTCGACTGTATGCTTGGTTTGCCTTAAGAGATGGGAAACCAAGCCTTTCTGTGGACTGCTGAATCAGCGGGGCTCTCTGACCCTGCACTAACTATGGCAAAATCCAGAGGAGAAACTGGCCACATGAGCCGCGAACTCACTTGTGTCTGGAGTGAGAACACCTAATGTGTTTGTATTCTTGAAAATCGCTCACCTTGGTAAGCCCGGGTTGCTTTCCTGCCCCACAGCCAGCTCCCGAAGCCCTGCCGGTCTCCGAGCGTGGGGTCGCTGCCCCGGAAAGCTGTGGAGAGCAGGGAGAAGCACTTGATGTAGCTGCGTGAATAAACAGTATTTTTTTTCTTTTGTACTGCTCTGCCTGCTCTTATACTTCCCAAATTCGAGGGGCCCAGAGGCCCGGGAAGCGTCACAGCTGCGTCTGCTCTTGGCTTGCCTAGGGAACCTGCAAGAGGGGACAGGTCAGCGCCTGGACTCCCAGGTCAGAAGAGCCTGTGCAGTCCGCCAGCCCTGACTCTCCCTGTGGGACTGAGGGTGAGCAGGGCATTCTCCTACCCTACCCTTCCTGGACTTAGGGTCCCCAAATCCCCTACTTTTGAGCTCCTCTTTGTCCCAACGGCAGATTATGTTGTTGGCATACACGTTTCCTGCTTATAGTCTAGGCTCTCACAACATTCTCATCTGGAGAAGCTTTTAATCAGAGGAAGTTCCTGCTTATGGTTTTGGAGCCTACGGAGCCTAGCTGGAGGAGCCAGCCGGCCTGGGAGCCGCTGAGGGCCTCTTCCTGTCACACACATCTTTACCCAGAATGCTGTGTGGTAGAGGGACACATGTTCCCTTGGGCATCTTTTAAAGGGCTCTCCGCCCTCACGACTTAATCATAGCATTAGCAGCTTGGCTTAGACAGCTCTCTGGTAAAATGCAGCTGTGGGCTAAGTGTACTCTTCCCTCGGCCTGCAAACACTTGGACAGGCAGGAGTGTGAGCTACCGGGAGGGCTTCCCTTTGCCTGGGTGCAGCGTTCATGCCGTCTCCCTCCAGCGCCCCACTTCCCACCTATCTGAAGTGTGTAATCTAAACTGGCAAGAACAAGGCATCTCCTTCACCCCACACAGGTTCTAGATCCTTCTAGATCTGCCTTCACCTCCCTGTCCAAGCCCAAGTGGTTAATGGATGTCAAAGATTCTGACAAGGCCTGGGACAAGAGGAATTTTGCAGTGTCCCCAGATGGTGTTAGGCTAGCACAGATGGCGAACCCTGATTAGCTGCCAGACACATGAGCTGTGGGGAGCAGTGAAACGGCCAGCTGGGCACAAGGCAGATGCTTGATGCTTGTCAGGTAACAAAGGAAATATGCTTTCTCCGTTGCCTTCAAGGAAACACTGGGGATTGAGACTCCAGCTTTGGGGCGGCTTTGGGGTGGGGGAAGGAGGAAGGCAGGATTCTGCTCAGCTCTGAGCTTTGGACTGTGAAATGTGGGAATCAACGGAACAGACCTGAGGTGGACGGCTTGCACCAGGGGAGTCCTGGGAGCTCCGGCTCAGACCAGTTGAGAGTGGTTTCTGGCAGTTGTCCCAGGAAGGTTTTAGGCTTTACAGGAAAAGGGGTAGGTTTGTGGAAGGCTGTAGTTTTATTCCCACATTTGGGGAGGTCGTTCATTGCTCTGTGCATGGTTTTGAAGTTTTTTTATTTTTTATTTCTTTAATAAACTGGCTGGTTTGGGGACTAGAGAAGAGAGAAGGACCCTGCAGGGCACTGAAAACTTCTGATTAGTTCTTTCAGCTACAAGGTCCTTAGAGAAGCTCACTAGGCCAGATAGGCCGCTTCCGGGGCCTGTAGGAAGCCTGTAGGGTGACCAGAGAAGGCTAGCCACCAGTCCTTAAAAGGTCTCCTGTGTTTTCTTTCTGTACCTGGAGGAAAATGTCAGGGATTGACCTAAGAACCCAGAAATATTGATTGAATACTTGAGTGTGAAGGGAAGCCTGATGGGTAGAAAGTTCCTGCTCCGTGAGGCCCGAATCTCCGAGATGACAGATTTGCCTCAAGGTATAGACAAGACAGGCACAAAGCGCTTTCTCAGCTGCAGCCAAGCTTTACCCACCACTGTTTGCTTTGTTTTCTTACAAGCTTGCAACATTTATTGTCTCGGCTGATTCTCCCTCGTTTTATGAAGTGAAAAGTGTTCTCATTATTTCAGAGCTACTGATCACACCTCAGGGAAGATGAATGTATTCAAAGTGGCAGAGTCGGGATTTGAACCTAAGTGGGCCTCTCTAGGGCTTTTTTTTTTTTTTTTATGGCGTAATCAATAGCCCACCCTAGACAGACGACAGACCTTGACGGCTTTCATTAAGAAGTGTCCTGATCTAGGGAAACGAACCCTTCCTGGTAATTTCTTTTGGGGGAAGAGGCTTGTAGTAGGGACTCCCTCATGAGACACACAGTTTCACCACAGTCCAGGATAGTGAACGTGGACCTTTTGTTAGCTGTGTTAGGCCCAGCAAGAGCCGAAATATAAGAAGGTATGAAGAGAACTCAGGAAACTAATCATCCATCGATGCAAAAACGCAAGAGGTTCCTCTTGACCATTGTGCAATGGGGTCACCCCTGCTGGTCAGCTAGGAGTGGCACCGGGAGACAAAGACCTTAGGTTTTTAAAAGACACAAGGCGGGAATCTCCTGGGGTTGCCTTCTTGGCAATTTAGGATTGGATGAGGTGTTTAACTTTTAAAATAATTGGTTAGTTCTGGTCACCCTTAGGTCCAGTCAGCCCTGTCGTAAATATCTGGTCTTCAAGTCAGTTTGGAATTTCCTGCCATCCACAGTTAAATATGGGAGGGTGATTAACTCATCCCATGTCTGTTCTGAGGAGTGGGGGTTACAGGTTTTGGATCAAAGGTCAGGAGCTATGCAGGAGAAGGATTGGGGTCATTTGGCCCAGTTTCCAAACAAAGCCCATCTCACAGACGCCAGCCGGTGATTTTCTCTCCATTTAGTAGAGATCTCTGCTTGTTCTCTTCCTTATCTCTGCCCTCACAGATGGCTAATGTCAGGAACTTTTACATTCCTCAGTCTCCGGAGAAGCACTAAGAGGCTTTAATTAACATGGGCCTAAAACTTGCAAATATAAGTTTTAAGGCAATTAAAAGAAACATAGGTTACAAAGTTAGTCTGATTCTTTCAGCTGTACATATCAGGTTTGACAGGAAGCTTGTATTTATAGGTCGAATTAATGGGAACAGAGATCTGGCCTGAAGGTAGCTTTCTAGGGTGTTGCAGCCCCTGGGATCCTGGTTTCCAACCCTGGGACTTGAATTTTCTCTTAACTGTTTGCAGCAGGAAGGGAGAAGGAACGGAGTCTGTCAGGCTGAGGTGGCTGGTGTCTCGAGGCAGGCTGTGTTCTGTCAGGATGGGCCAGTGCTTACGAGGGCTTCTTGCTCCCTGTTGGTTTAGGATGTGTGACTAGGAGCACCTTTGTGAGAATTGTGTTTGTTTGTTTTTCGAGGTAGCGTTTGTTTTAGCCCTGGCTGTCCTGGGCTCACTCTGTAGACCAGGCTGGCCTCGAACTCAGAGATCCACCTGCCTCTGTCTCCCGAGTGCTGGGATTACAGGTGTGCAGCACCACTGCCCGGCTCCTCCGTGAGATCTTAATTGTGCTTCAGAATTTAAACTTCGACTCAGACGTTTCCAAGAAATACATGTCTGTCTTTCCCTAAAGATTTCCCAGAGGATAAAGTCCCATGATGCCCCTGAATATGGCAGAGCTATCTCTTCTAAAATGCTAGCATTATTCCTGGATTGTGAAAGTCTGGGTCCATCTCCTGTGGATGAGAAAACACAATTCATCCAATATATCTTTTTGTTTTAAGATTTATATTTAAAATATTTTTTTGCTTTTGAGACAGGGTTTCACTGTGTAGCCCTAGCTGGCCTAGAAGTCACTATGTAGACCAGGCTGGCCTCAAACTCAGAGATATAGTCCTTCTTCTGCCTCCCAAGTACTGGATTGAAGGTGTGCACCACCGTTCCTGATTCTATTTTTAATTACATATATTTGTACACTTATATGTATGAGTTCATACGCACTTGTGAGTGCAGATGTTCCTGGAGGCCAGAAGAGGGCATCAGATCCCCTGGAGATGGAAGGACAACCAGCCTTTCACTCTTGCCTGAGGTGCATCTACCCTCATGCTGTTACTGGTCTCTTCATTAACACTGGGAAGAGCAATTTTAGGCTTCCCCAGGGATCTTTCAGGCATTTGGTGGCAGGTTAGGACCACCAACGCATTCGGCCTGTGGACTGAACTGCCACTGGGTTCTTTTTGGGCAAGAAAGCCGTACTGGACTACTCTTACCTTATTGTGTAAGTCTGTCTAAAAATTCCCCTTTCATGTATCGTCATTAGGTCAGCTCTGATCCCTTTAGAGAACACTTAGTCCTTACCATTTTATTTCCTAAGTCAGAAAAAAAAATGCCTTTTTTTTTTTTTTTTTCAGTTTTTTTAGACAGGGTTTCTCTGTGTAACCCTGGCTGTTCTGGAACTCACTCTGTAGACCAGGCTGGCCTCAAACTCACAAGAGATCGCCTGCCTCTACCTCCCGAGTGCTGCGATTACAGGCGTGCACCACCACTACCTGGCCTATAGCATGACTTTAATGCTGTCTTTTTAGGAGCCCAGAGCTCAGTACGTATGAGGCCACTGTTACTGCTATACTACCTACTAGCATCGGGCATCAGCAAAGTCCTGCCAGAGCAATCAGGCCCTGCACGGCATGGTTGCAAGGCTCCCGCTAGAGAAGACTGGCCAGACAAGCCTTATTTCTGCTGACTATACCTGGGTGCTTGGGACCCCAGCCTTTCTCGGGGTCCATACTTAGCATGAAGACCACGTCATGGCTGCAAAGTCCCCAAAGTTTCCTTCCTGAAACTACCAGCTAAACAGTTACAAAAGCCAAACTACACAGTTAGCAAAATGGCAGGGTCAGGCTGACGGGCACAAAGAGCCCACAGCCTTGAGCTGTTTTTCTTCCCAGGATCGTTTTCTTAAATTCCCTCTTTCAGTTACTGCCATTTGCTCAGCAAGGCAAAGCTCATCCAAGGTAGCAAAAGGAGTCACCACGGTCAGCTGCAGCCCTTGCCACATTCCCCAGCGGTTCTGCAGCATGAGTCCAGCCGTGGGCTCATCCTGGGGAAGAGGACTATGTTGTCCTCATAGGATAAAGAGTTTGGTTTTGTTTTTTGAGACAGGGTTTCTCTGTGTAGCCTTGGCTGACCTGCACTTGCTTTGTAGACCAGGCTGGCCTTGAACTCACAGAGATCTGCCTGCCTCTGCCTCTGCTTCCCAGAATGCTGA